CCCCAAAACCCCAAAACCCCAAAACCCCATCATTCCTAGCAAACAAGAGTAATTTATTCCAAATAAGGATTTGAAAATTAAAAGAAATGTACTTTTTGTTAATATAAAGAATCATTTCAGGGCAGGCATGAAATGATTGTTCTTGTTTTGAATTTAGTGCACGTAGGACTTAAATTCAAAGAACCCTCTTAATGTACTGATTTCATCTAAGTTAAAAACACGTCGGCTAACCTCAGTGCGGCCGCTTGGTGTAATACTAGATGCGGGGATACAATATTATATTTTCTTAGGATACTCAAGTTACTATATATTGAGGAGGTGAATATTGCTTCTTAATTAGGGACTGATTTCCTCGACTCTCTCAGAGTGTTCTGAACATGAACCGCTCAAAACACTTTCCTAGGTAGTCTCACTGTTAACACTACCCAAGGATTGCTTCAATTAGCCACTTTAACAGATTGGTGGGTTGTTGATTAACTTCACTTCACACGGCAAATTGGCTGTGTGATTGTTAAAATTATGTGATTGATCAGAGCAAACAAGTGGATTACCACAATAGCATTGGCTGACTGGAATGAAGTCACTGTTATATTATGACATCTATGACGCCATAAGTTCCTGTTTATCGATTTTATCGATTCTACCAGTCCTTCTGAATAATTGCAAAATTGTTTTCGCAGTTGAGTAATTCATGTTAAGTTTAATCGCCGCCTCTTTTATCGAGAAGTTGCGATCCTTAACTAGATATAGTAAAACCCTTCTGACTGATGAGTTAATGGAATGATAAGGTTTTCTCTTCTTGCGAATCTTATTAGGTCCTTAACAAATGGTTTAATGATAATGAAGGTTACTTTTGCGAAGATCACAGTGATACATCTGTTTCTGAAGATCGTATTCCATTCAGAATTATTTACTAATAATTATAGATGACCATTTAGAAATAAATATCTAGTTAAAAATATTTCCAGGCGATCTGAATAGTCCATGTATTTAGACTTAAACTAAAAAAAATTAAACTTTTTTGAACCATACTAGTAACAAATCCAAGTGATTAAGCGTCACGGGGTTTTGGGGTTTTGGGG